ACACACACACGCACACCTTCACCGCCGTCCGGTACCCCGAGCTCAACGGGGGTCACTCCTACTGCCGCAACCCCGGCAACCAGAAGGACGCCCCGTGGTGCTTCACCTTAGACGAGAACTTCAAGTCCGAGCTCTGTGACGTCCCGGCATGTGGTAATTACTGGCCTTCTTTATGTTCCATGTTGGCAGGAAAAGGGGATCCGTTTTGCCACGTCCGTACAGCCGTCCTGCGAAACAGGAGCTCGGGGGAGCTGCACGCAAAGTGTTTTCTTGGAATCCCTGAAAAGGGAGCTGTAGGAAGGGCAAACTGCAGGGTGTGTAGCTAAAGCCACATCATCCCCGCCTCGAGGAGACCAAGCATCTACTGCCCATGCCACTGGCAAAGTGGTGGCACGACAACATTTTCCTGGGGAATAGCTGGGCACCCCCCAGAAGGGGCTGAAGCAGGAGCGCGTTGCCAGCCCGAGCGCCCCAGGCGTTCCGGGTAGCCCTTACGGTCAGTACGACCCCTCAGAACCAATGAAGTCAGGTCACAGAAGTTGAGCTGTTCACGCCGATCCGCAGAGTGGTTATAAAACGTTCCCCGTGTCGCTTGGTTTATGAAGAGCCATTTTCATAAATGCAGACCTCGCTTAGCAAAGCTCAGGCCTTGTTTGAAAAATAGAGATGATCTTGTCATATCCTCTTAGCTGTATTTTAAGTTTGTGTTTACAAAACTGCCCTGGTGCATTTTGGTTTGGCAAAATAAACAAAAACAGAGATCCAGCTCTCATTTTATTCTGCTTTCCTGAGACCTGGGGGAAGTGGAGGGAAGACCTGAACGAATGGTTCCTAGTTGTTTTATCTGCATTTAAAAATAACAATACCGGTAGCGTGCCAAGGACAAAATACAGCTATTTGCATGGACATGCCAGGAGGGCACCCAGAAACGTTCTGGAAATCCACGGTACGAAGTTTCACACAGAATTTTATGTTGCCTACAAGCTCGTCCCAGTAACATTACCTTTCCCCTTGGAAAGGAGATATCTTTTGATGTTACTGTTCGATAGCCAGAACCAAATTAGATTATTTCTGGTTATGGTTGTGAACATTCCTGCAGCGAGACATGTTCTGAGCCTGCTCCAAAGTCTTTTTCAATTAATGGAAAGATGGGAATCGATGCCAAAATGGGATCTAAATTATGTTCTTACTGAAAGAGTAGATCAGGGGAAAGGCAGACAGTCTGGGCTGTATCACATGCATCTCAAACCCCCTCTGAAATTCATGAACACTTTTTAGAGTCCTGCATCTCTTTTGCTATTCAGTGCATTTAACTTCTGTTATTTTTCTTCTTAATTAGGCACAGTGATAGACCGACTGCACAAGAGTAGTTCAAACTATATAAACTGTTCCAAAGATCTTTTTCAGCCCCTTGGTACAAAAATCTGGACCTAAGTAGCAGTCAGCAGGACTCCCCTTCGCGTCCTGCCGGCCCTTGCCTCTCCGCCCCGGGAACGGCGGGGCTGCACGAGCGCGGGCGG